CTGGTCAAGCCTACAAGAGGCGTGTGTGTGGGCAAGTGTACCTGATTGGCACCTGTCCCGTGACCCTTTTAAAGCACGTCATGACTGACAGGAGCCGATTAGTGGCCGTCAATAGAGAGTTGTGTGGGCGACTTAGCAAGGCGCCATGTATGGAAGGTCGGGTGATGATCGTCGCTACCTCCGTATTTTGCAGTAAGAGCCTATTATACTGCCGTTTGTTGCTTGTTGCAGTGAGAGCGTGGGCCCAGCGATCTTGAATAATATTTATGAACTAGCTGTACCCGGCCACGCGTTGCTGTGGCCCAATACACAATCAGACCCCACCAACACACCACCAGACCACCAACACACCACCAGGACACCAACACACCACCAGACCAACAGACAGACAGATCAAGCCTCCCGTCCCACGAGAGGCTGAGACAGATCAAGCCTCCCGTCCCACGAGAGTCTGAGACAGATCAAGCCTCCTGTCCCACGAGAGGCTGAGACAGATCAAGCCTCCCGTCCCACTAGAGGCTGAGACAGATCAAGCCTCCTGTCCCACGAGAGGCTGAGACAGATCAAGCCTCCCGTCCCACGACAGGCTGAGACAGAACACCGCCCTGACCCTCCACCTTCATGCATAATAAATACCTTTCTCTTGTGGAGTTTTCCTGTATTCTGCAATATAGATATCTGCCTGAGTTTGTTTTGTTGTCTTGCTTGTATCCTCAGGCATGTTGCATGGTCTGCAACCCGCAGAGTCATTGTAACCACTCCCACTCACTTCTGTGGTCAAGGATAGACTCTCCCATGCACTCCCTCTCTGGACAAGGATAGTCTGTCCCATGCTCTCCCTCTGTAGACAAGGATGGTCTCTCCCATGCTCTCCCTCGCTGGTCAAGGATAGTCACCCCATGCTCTCCCTCTCTGGTCAAGGATAGTCTCCCCCATGCACTCCCTCTCTGGTCAAGGATAGTCAGCTAGACTACTCGTCCCGTTGATGAAGAACGCTACGGTCTCCACTAGCTTGAGCGTTCCTTGATGTGGTGTTTCTAGCTGTCGGAAGAGAAAGCGCTAACCTTCCTTAAGAAAAGCAGAGGCAAGCAACAGTTCAATGCTTGCTTAAGAAGAGCCGTGGCAAGCAACAGCTCTAAGTCTGCTTAAGAAGAGCCGTGGCAAGCAACAGTTCTAAGTCTGCTCAAGAGATGGTAAGACAAGAATTTCTAGGTCTGCCTCTCAATAAGGAAAATATAACTTCCTTTAAAAAGGAGAAATATTGCTTTATTTGACTAAATATTTCTTAATCCTTCTGTGAGCGGTCGCGCATAATCCCGTCGACCCACGACGACCCACGGCGATCCACAACGACCTTGACGACCCACGATGACCCACGACGACGACCCACGGCAATCTACAACGACCTCGGCGACCCACGACGACCCACGGCGAAGCGCGACGACCCACGACGACATAAGACAACCCACGACGACATAGGACGACCCACGACGACCTACGACGACCTGCAACGACGACCTACGACGACCCACGACGACCTACGACGAGCAACGACGACCCACGACGACCTACGACGACCAACGATGACCCACGACGACCAACGACGACCTACGACGACCAACGACGATCCACGACGACCCATGACGACCAACGACGACCAATGTCGACCCATGACGACCTACGTGACCAACGGTGACCAACGACGACCAACAACGACCCACGACGACCTACAACGTCCCACGACGACCAACGTTAACCCACGACGACCTACGACGACCTACGACGACTAACGACGACCCATGACGACATACGACGACCCACAACGACATTCTGATGCGGATAACCACGTTTGTTTGCCCTTAAAAATTCATAAGAGAATTTTTAATAAATTATAGACAAAGGCACGTGGAGCAGCTTTTAAACATGTAATATTTTCTCCTGAAATTGACTCTAGGTTCGGACTTTTCTATTCTGATACTTCTTTCTCCACTGACTTGATGTATGAGGTCAGAAGGTCTTGGAGACTTGGTAGTCTCTGCCAGGTTACAGGTTGACGGCGCGTCGGGTTCCACACACACGCGGGCCACACACGCGGGCCACACACGCGGGCCACACACGCGGGCCACACACGCGGGCCACACACGCGGGCCGCACACGAGGGCCACCATCACCTACAACAGCTGTGAGGCCCTGGCCACCATCTCCTACAACAGCTGTGAGGCCCTGGCCACCATCTCCTACAACAGCTGTGAGGCCCTGGTCACCATCTCCTACAACAGCTGTGAGGCCCTGGTCACCATCACCTACAGCAGCTGTGAGGCCCTGGCCACCATCTCCTACAACAGCTGTGAGGCCCTGGCCACCATCACCTACAATAGCTGTGAGGCCCTGGTCACCATCACCTACAACAGCTGTGAGGCCCTGGCCACCATCTCCTACAACAGCTGTGAGGCCCTGGTCACCATCACCTACAACAGCTGTGAGGCCCTGGCCACCATCACCTACAACAGCTGTGAGGCCCTGGTCACCATCACCTACAACAGCTGTGAGGCCCTGGTCACCATCACCTACAACAGCTGTGAGGCCCTGGTCACCATCACCTACAACAGCTGTGAGGCCCTGGTCACCATCTCCTACAGCAGCTGTGAGACCCTGGTCACCATCACCTACAACAGCTGTGAGGCCCTGGTCACCATCACCTACAACAGCTGTGAGGCCCTGGCCACCATCACCTACAACAGCTGTGAGGCCCTGGTCACCATCACCTACAACAGCTGTGAGGCCCTGGTCACCATCACCTACAACAGCTGTGAGGCCCTGGTCACCATCACCTACAACAGCTGTGAGGCCCTGGTCACCATCTCCTACAACAGCTGTGAGGCCCTGGTCACCATCACCTACAACAGCTGTGAGGCCCTGGTCACCATCACCTACACCAGCTGTGAGGCCCTGGTCACCATCACCTACAACAGCTGTGAGGCCCTGGCCACCATCACCTACAACAGCTGTGAGGCCCTGGTCACCATCACCTACAACAGCTGTGAGGCCCTGGCCACCATCTCCTACAGCAGCTGTGAGGCCCTGGCCACCATCTCCTACAACAGCTGTGAGGCCCTGGTCACCATCACCTACAACAGCTGTGAGGCCCTGGTCACCATCACCTACAACAGCTGTGAGGCCCTGGTCACCATCACCTACAACAGCTGTGAGGCCCTGGTCACCATCACCTACAACAGATCATGCCATGGTGACCTCACCCTTGACCCAAGGAGACGGTGGAGATATACCTCCAACACCACCATCTAGTGATGGGAGCACTAATGGGTAAGCACAGTGATGTCAACCATTATGACGGAGCAGTAAGGTAACTAACTGCTCAACCTCTGGCTCATTCAGCTGCGTGTATTGCTGTGAATTATAGATATACTGTGCGGGGGGGGGGAGGATATTCGGGTTCTACCGGGTACCTCTCTCTCTCACTCCTTTTACTTATTTCTCTTCTTTTCTCTCTCTCTCTCTCTGTCTCTCTCTATCTCCCTATCTTTTGTTTCTCTTTCCCTATCCTTTACCTCTCTACCCATTTCTGCCCCGTCACTTCTCCTTTCCAACTTTCTCCCCAAGATCCTTCCTCATCTTCTCTCCTTCTCTTTCCAACCTCGCTCTGAATCTTCTCTTCTTTCACCCTCTCCACCTTCCTCCCCACACTTCCCCAACATCACCACCCCATCCCCCCTTTTCACACATCTTCCATTTTCCTCCCTTCTCCACCCTCTTCCCCCCTCTCTTTACCCCCTCCCCCAACTACCTTTCTCTCTCCACTTCCTTCTTCCCTGTCTTCAAACATCTCCCTCTCTCTCCACCCTTTTTCCTTCTCTCACTCTCTCCCCTCTGTCTCTCGACTCATTCTATTTTTTTTTATTAAGATATGAGGTACATCTGCATTAGTGCAGCTACCCTAGACTATATGAAGTGGAGTACAGTGTGTCAAAAAATCTAACTAGGTGATGCTAAAAAATCCCCATCACACAGGATGGTTAGTCATACAGAGGCATGTGATAAGCGGTCTGCACTGGCAGACTCCGGGTGCATTTTGAGGATATCAACAACACAAGATTGAATAAGGTAGCAGTGGTAATACAAGTCCCCATCTCGCAGGATGGTTAGTCATACAGAGCCATGTGTTTAATAGCCTGCACTGGCAAATTTTGGATATACTGTGAGGATATCTTCAAGAATACGAGAGTGAATAAAGTAATTGCAAAGCTCCAGGTACCTCATGCCAACTGGTCTGAAAGGTCTAATAACTGGGCATTCAGTGATGTAGTGCGGGAGATCATGCCGTAGTTCCTGCTCACAGAGTTTGCAACTGGAGTGCTCAGGATTGGGAGACCCGTCACCTGCAGCCACCTGCCACAGGTAACGGTAACCCAACCTGATCCTTGCAACCACTGTGTCGCACAGTCTAGTGGACGTTTTGTGCTGTCCATAGATGTAGGTTTCAGATCTGAACAAATCATAGCTTTTTATACTAGTACTTTCAGGTCGTTGGGAGTCAGTAAGTTCTTTCCTATCAGATCTGAATGTTTGGACACATTCTATCTCCCTGTCTAGTAAAATAAGTCTAGGGACCCAGCCAGCCGCCTTTCACTAATTTCGTGAGTGTGAGGGATCACAATTGAACACGCCCTCCCTCTTTCATCGGGAGAAATAGGCTCGACACTGACTAGCCTATGTCCATCCCATTCCCAAGACCAGTCACATAGCAAAGTTAGGCGAGGATAGCCCAAACATCTGGCAATCACCCTCAGACACAAACAAGGAGACAGATATAACTTGAAAATCTATATAATGCAGCTTTCATTGGAATTGTGAGTTGTGAGTCGTCCAGATTGTCTCGGGAGATCTCAGGATGGTCTCAAAATTACCATTTTCTGTGACATTAAGAAATAAATAAAGAGTCGTTTGTAATTTTATTTTTGTTGAAGCTTTCTTGCTGTTCGCTCGCTGCTGCAACAGCGTAAGGGCCATGCGTATGGTAGCTAGGAGTAAGGTGTCCAGGCGTACGGTGGCTAGGGGCATGGTAGCCAGGCGTATGGTGGCCCAGCGTAACGTGGCCAGGCGTATGGTGGCCCAGCGTAACGTGGCCAGGCGTATGGTGGCCAGGCGTATGGTGGCCCAGCGTAACGTGGCCAGGCGTATGGTGGCCAGGCGTATGGTGGCCCAGCGTAACGTGGCCAGGCGTATGGTGGCCAGGCGTATGGTGGCCCAGCGTAACGTGGCCAGGCATACGATGTCCTAGAGTACCTTCTCTATTGGCCCAGGCTTTGGAGTTCATATATCGGTATGAGTTATTTGGCATGAATAATTACAAGAAAAAAGGGAGGTTAGGGGGGGGGTGCATTCATCCATATAGACAGGTGGTGCGATGAAGTCCCCCCCCCCCAGGGCGACGGAAACGCTCAGAGCCCCTGAGCCGGTGTCTGGCAACTCTGTTATCATTACCTGAGCTATTTTGATTAACTTGCACGCACACACACACACACACTCACACACATTACATTGCATTACATGACGGTTGAGAGGCGGGACCAAAGAGCCAGAGCTCAACCCCCGCAAACACAACTAGGTGAGTACACACACACACACACACACACACACACACACACACACAAGGGCGAAAGACAAGAGGCACTGAACTACAGGCCAGTGTCCTTGACTTGTATACCATGCAAGGTGATGGAGAAGATCGTGAGAAAAAACCTGGTAACACATCTGGAGAGAAGGGACTTCGTGACAAATCGCCAACATGGATTCAGGCAGGGTAAATCTTGCCTTACAGGCTTGATAGAATTCTACGATCAGGTGACACAGATTAAGCAAGAAAGAGAGGGCTGGGCGGACTGCATTTTCTTGGATTGTCGGAAAGCCTTTGACACAGTACCGCATAAGAGGCTGGTACATAAGCTGGAGAGACAGGCAGGTGTAGCTGGTAAGGTGCTCCAGTGGATAAGGGAGTATCTAAGCAATAGGAAGCAGAGAGTTACGGTGAGGGGTGAGACCTCCGATTGGCGTGAAGTCACCAGTGGAGTCCCACAGGGCTCTGTACTCGGTCTTATCTTGTTTCTGATATATGTAAATGATCTCCCGGAGGGTATCGATTCATTTTTCTCAATGTTTGCGGACGATGCTAAAATTATGAGAAGGATTAAAACAGAAGAGGACTGTTTGAGGCTTCAAGAAGACCTAGACAAGCTGAAGGAATGGTCGAACAAATGGTTGTTAGAGTTTAACCCAACCAAATGTAATGTAATGAAGATAGGTGTAGGGAGCAGGAGGCCAGATACAAGGTATCATCTGGGAGAGGAAATTCTTCAGGAGTCAGAGAAGGAAAAAGACTTGGGGGTTGATATCACGCCAGACCTGTCTCCTGCAGCACATATCAAGCGGATAACATCAGCGGCATATGCCAGGCTGGCCAACATACGAACGGCATTCAGAAACTTGTGTAAAGAATCATTCAGAACTTTGTATACCACATATGTCAGGCCAATCCTGGAGTATGCAGCCCCAGCATGGAGTCCATATCTAGTCAAGGATAAGACTAAACTGGAAAAGGTTCAAAGGTTTGCCACCAGACTAGTACCCGAGCTGAGAGGTATGAGCTACGAGGAGAGACTACGGGAATTAAACCTCACTTCGCTGGAAGACAGAAGAGTTAGGGGGGACATGATCACCACATTCAAGATTCTGAAGGGGATTGATAGGGTAGATAAAGACAGTCTATTTAACA